TGTAAGCCTTTTAAAAATATGTATAGTTTATCTTTTGCTGTCGTCAATTGTTTGTGTAGCATATGAGTACGAACCGGTTCGAACCGGTTTGACCCTTTATTTTTTCACTCCGGAGTTGAATCGGAGCTGAACCGTTTTCCGTGAACCAGAAAGAAAACCGGAACGAAAAACATTTCGGTTCGACACCCTGGTGCACAACCCGTTCTTCACAATTTCATTATTAATAAAAAGCGTAAAAATGCTTCTGAGTGGTCAGGAGAAGACAAATTGACAGCACAGAGGTGGACGGGAGTTTTGAAGGGAAAATTCCTGATACATTTTCGTAAAACCGACCAAAAATGCCCATGCGTCAGAGCGATCAATGTACGCCACCCAGTGTTGTACGGAACGGCGCTCCAAAAAACGGCGTTCCTGGAACGCGTTCCTTTTAGGAGGAACGAAGGAACGCCACCGTTCCAGTTTGCATCGGTGGAACTGGAGCGGGAACGCGTTACATTTTTACTGGAACGGAAAAAGAAACGGCATTCCTTTTTTCTCGTCCAGTGGGGTAATTTTTATTTTATTTTAAAGAGGGAAAGTGTAAAAGTACAAATACAATATCTTTACGAATAGCAGAATATCGTTAACTTTCTGGTTACTTATCTTAGGGTTTATCTTGTGTGGTCCTTGCTTGGTAAGAGTCGGGCGGAGGAGAGCTAGTGGACACTGATTCTTTTTTCAGTGCACGAGACTGCGGTACGAAAACCAATACGCTTAGTCGAAGGAAAAGGCACAAAAAGAGGGAAGTTTTAAGCTCGGCTACTTTTTTTGCATCCACGAATCCTCGCACTCAGAAATCTAAGGCTGACTACAGCGATTTCTGAACTTTCGAAAATAGACTTACAGTTAAAACAGGAGAACAGGTTACCATACACGAACGCATACCCTCGTATCCCGAACTTTGGTCATTTAAAAGGTACAGAAAAATGAACTTTAATTCCTTCTCGCCTTGTCCGCCACCTTCAAGCTGAACAACAAATCCAACCTTCGCAACAATGTAGTTTTCAAATGACTGACCTTCGAAAATCCTCTTCTTGACTTACTCGTCTTGCGCGCGGACAGCATCATCGAGAAGCAACTATTGTGATGTCCGAACAGGGGGCTTTGTTGGATTGAAAAGTGTGAGGTGGATGTAAAACGCACGTGCAATATGGAATAACAGTACATTTAGTTCGTCGGAATTGCAATCTACAAAGGTGAATATGGTGAAACGCTGAGAGTTTTAAAGGTGAATATATCAATAAATGGGACCTTGCTTCCGCTTGTTTTCTTCTCCTGATACCCTTCCATCACGTCATTTAAATTCGTTATCACCCATCTGATGGGATAGATAAAAACAAAGAAAACTTTCCCTATGATCTAACCAAATATGGTTAGCAGCAAAAAACAAGTGTAACGTATATGTAACGATACGTTCCATTCTTAAAACTGTAACGGAAACGAGTTCCTTTCTCACAGGTGGAACTTGTAACGGGAACGTGTTCCGAAAATCAGAAGGAACGAGGAACGATATTTCGTTCCTTTTCTCAAGGAACGTGTACAACACTGACGCCACCCTGTAACATGCTTCGTGGTGCCTGTTTCAACAGCCGGCGTGTAGCGTCTCCGTCTACGCGACGTGAGGGAAGCAACCGGAACGACTTTTCAAACAGATCAGCCTACAACCTTGGCGGTAACATGATATAGGAAGTGGGGTGCGGCAGACCCTGAACTTGCGCCGCCTGGAGCGCCAATAGATCCGCTGCCGTGGCGGGCCGCACAACGCGTAGAAAATAAAGATATATAAAAAAAGGAAACAGAATTGCGATTGAATGAGATTGTCTATAGCTTAATTTATAAGACAACGGTTTGGACAATCATGTAATCCAATATGAGTATGCTCATGTAACCTACGTAAGTGATGGTGCAGCAAGCCACTTTAAGAACAAGTACCAAATACACGAGCTGCAGAGCCACAAATACACGTCAGCGACGTGTATTTGTTTCGCAACTTGACATGGCAAGAGTGCCTGTGATTGAATCGAGGGACGTTTCAAGCACCAGACAACGTTGTACAGCCTCCGATGGCCCGCCAAGTCGGTGATCAAGTCGGTGTCAGAGATGGTTGCCCCACTGAACACTAAACTGCCGAACGTGAAACTAATCCACCTCCTGAAAGCTGACGTAAAAGCGTTCAGGGACATGAAAGCAAAGGACTGGGACTCTGTTTCCGTTGTGCGTGGAATTCAGTCCAGCCACCTGTGGCAGTGTACGCGGTCCGACACTCCGCAACCATACCTGTTTTAGCAAGAACAGTAGCCGCAGAAAATATAAATCTTTAAAAGTAAAACCTCCTATGGCAGTGAAAAGCAGATCGAGGTCGTGAGCTTGCGGTGCCACTCAGAAGAAACGAAAAGTGATCGCAACAGGCAAAACGAGAAAAAAATATTTCTCCTCAATGTGCCAGTAGAGCGCCGTGACCGACTCAGGTCAGCGTCCGGCAGAAAGATTTCACGCGACATGCTCCGAATGTGCGCACTGGATCTTGAATAATTAAACTTGTTTCAATTGTACCACTTTAAAGATGCGTTCTTACTTATCACTCTTTAAACCTGGTCGTCAGCAGCCCAGCCTCCCCCCGAAGGGTAGGCTCCGAAATTCACTGATCCGAGAAATCTGTTTTTAAATTGTTCACTTTTGCTTCAAACTAACCTGTAATCTTCTGTATGCATTCCTATTTTTCACGAACTCCTGTCACAGTGCTTTCTCCTCACAGACTTCCTACGTTTTTCGACCCCTTGCTTGCCCCTGTTTGAAATCGGCAACGTCCTATCTTTCTCTACTCCCGTCACGGCAATTCTGTATATTTAAAGCCCCGGAAGAAAACAACAACATTGCAAAGCATTTTTAATGGGCCTGATAGGACAGATTATGAGCGTTGATCTGTGAAAAGTAGAAAAAAATTGCGGTGGTCTTCATTCTAAACTGATTTTCCGATTATTGCAAAATAGGTAACCGGTTTACATTTCAGTGTATATTTTTTTTAAAAGGTTATCTTTTTCAATTTTAATGACAGTTTATGCGAATATAAGGACAGACGCACGCAAATCATTTAAGAAAAAATTGAATTTCCAGTCTCCTAAGATCCGGATCCATAAAGCTCTGAATTGCTTCGTAATTGATAATGCAATTTCGATTGCAACCTCAATTTATGTTATGTAGAGTCTCTGCACGAAAAATATTAAACCTAAGGCGACAACAGTTTCTTTTTAATAAATATCCAAAAGGACGGTTTCACGCAAGTCGCAAAAACGTGCCCGTATACCGACAGCGACTTTGTGTTTTTTTGTTTCCTCGAGGGAAATTGCATTTTCCGCAAAAAAGTTTGAATATGTATTTGCGCTTGCACAAGTAAAAAATATATCTTTTGGTAAAATAAAAAAATGTCAACCGGACAGGGTCGTTCGATCCTATCTAAAAATGCCGAATACAAATAACCTAAGACAATCGTATTTTTGTTTGAAGTATCTTATTTTCTACGCGTTGCGCGGCACTCCACGGCGGCGGATCTACTGGCGGTCACAGCCGTCGCAGGTTCTGGTTCGGCCACTCGCTACCTCCTATATCATGTTACCATTAAGGTTGTAGGCTGATCTGCTTGCAAAGTCGCCCCGGTTGCCTCCTTTACGTCGCGTAGACGGAGACGCGATACTCCGGCCGTTGAAACAGGCACCGCGAAGCATGTTACAGGGTGGCGTACAGTGATCGCTCCGGCCCATGAGCATTTTTGGGTCGGCTCTACGGAAATGTATTAAGAATTTTCTCTTCAAATCTACCGTCTACCCCTGTACTGTCAATTTTTCTTCTCGGACCACCCAGTAGCATTCTTGCACTCATTAATAATAATGAAATTGTGAAGAACGGGGAATGTGCACGCCCCATTTACGGCAATCGCGTTAGCGTCAATTTGGCCATGTTTCTCCTTTATAATTTAAAAGCCACACAAATATTGCATCCTGTTTTTGCAGACTCTGTTAGTACATAATATAAACATTAATTTAAGAGAGTTTAAGGAATATCAAAGATGGCCTTTTTTAAATGATTTTCAAAATAATGCATTTTTAGTTAAATGTGTGCGCAATTCTTGTAAATTTCTCCCGCTAAACAGGTCAACAATATTTCGCACAAAGGCTAAGTATGTACAGGGCAACACACAGGTAACGTTTGAAGACCTTAGCTTTTATAGATACGAAAACAAATATTCTTTAATCTAGAGCGTTATTGCGCACTGTGCCGTGTTTGCATTTTTGTTTCTCAAAAATATTACCCTAATCCTCGGTGATTACTACGTTTTATCAATCCTGCCTATGCCTAATTTGTTAGTGAATAATTCTAGACCCGCAGCCAGAACAGTTTTTTGGGGAAAGCCGCCCGAGATCTCAACACCGCGCGATACGCAAAACGCGCACGTGAGTGAGAGGGTGCCTACAAATGTTTTCCGCAAAAGACAACATTTTTTTTTTTTCGCAAAAACAATGATTGGTTTTATTCTTCTGGGAATAAAGCCAGCAAAATATACTTTTTTCATCGAAATTAACAATGGTGACCGGACATGGTTGTTCGGCCTTATCTGAAAACGCCCTACTGTGCTTTTGTTTCTCCATAGCAAAAACAACAATAAAAAAAAAACAAGAAAAAAACGTCTGCATGATTGAGTAAGTAGCGTGTAAAGCTCGTAGCCGATGGGTCGTGGGTTCACACCCCACCCGGAAAGAATTCTCAATTTTTTTTCTTCAAGGCAAATGAATTACTTTATAAATTAAAACCATTCGAGACACGAGCGAGGTCAATATAATTTTCCCATCCTAAACGCTTTTGCGTTAATATTCGCTGAAAAATAACGGCCCTCTCAATATTAAATTCAAATCAATGCATTTCGATGAAACATCTAATCGCAATATTGTTGCAATATTCTTGTTTAGGGAAACGAGAAACTACCTGTGATTGAAACAACGTCATCTGGTAATTCATATGTTGACTCTGACGAGACGATTCTTGCACTGACTAAGGTGAGAGCGGAAAGACCAAATTATTACCAAGATTGTGATATTCTTCTCTTTATAACGGGGTAAGTTTTTTTGTTTTTTTGTGATAACTAGAATTTTACTGCTGCAACCCTCGTGTTCGAGGAATTCGAAAACTGAACCAGTAATCTAGATGTCTATCAAGAAAACGTTTTTTCAACACAGATTAACGCACTACATAACGCACTACACTACTATGTGGTTTCTAATGTAGCCAACAGATATTGCACCAAATTCCAAGCCAGATAATATACCTGAGCAGTCTAAATCCAAACGGAATACCCGATCTCGCATTGAGAAATGCTTTAAGAATATATATATATCACTTCCAGGATAACTTTTAGAAAAATATGCATGATTGTTCCGGAACACGCAGCATGCCAGGAATCCTGTCCTGGATCCCCATTTTTGCCCGTTCCGATTTGCATGAACAAGACACCGGCATGCCCTCGCGTGTCACTACCGCGAGATGCATGCTATAGTCCCCAGGCTAGTAGTCATAGCGCTTTTCGATAACGTTTCGTCTACAACAGAAACATAATGCAGACGCTCTGGTGCCGGCGAACTTGCCGCGGTCTAAACATCCCGACAACAATTTCCTGGAGACATTTCGAATGATCTATAGAGCTCTTTTTCTACTTTTTACGCACTAAACTTTTCTACAAGGGAAATACCTCTAATCGATTCAAAATAATATAATAATTCACAGTCCAGAACATATTTTATGCTATTGTATGCCCTTACTCTAAAAAAAACCTGAATTGTCTAGAGCTCGAATCTGTAGAGCTGAGGACCCCTGCTCTAGAGAGCCTCATTTGTCTATAGCATGGGTTTCTAAATCCCGGACCGCGGGTCAGATCTGGCCCGCAGAAGTCTTCCGACCTGGCTGCGGCAGACCGCGGTCCTTCCAAAAAACCCGGCCCGCGAACCGCGACCTGCTTGCAGCAGGTCTGCCGCTAGCGGCGCAAAAATAAGCGCGCGTAAATCAACGGCACTGCAACACGCACCAAGCGCACAAACTAAGATACCAGAAAAAAACGAAAGACGAGAAAAAACCGCTTATCGTAAGGCGTGTCACCTCGTCACATTACTGAATCCTCAGCAGCATCACAATTCTTAGTCCCTGTTTTATATTTGTGTAACTTCGCATGCTAAAATTCCTGCGCGTTCCAGTGTACGTATAACGCGCTTTGCGTCATGTGTCATATCTTATGCATATTGTCAGCTGATTAACGTTGAAGTTTGGGCTAGTTGGTATACAGACATAATAAAAACAAAACGGTGCATGCACGAGGACAAAGTAGAAGGTAACGGACAGGACACAGCGCTGTGTCCTCTCGGTTAATTCTTTTTCCACGTCGTCGCTATGTTTTTTTTTAAATTAATAATATGTCACATTGTTAGCATTAGTTATATTATTTCTTTTAGTTTTTTCTCTGTTGAAACATGTCAATGTTCCTATGCTCTTTAAAGGGGCGGTGCAACAATATTCAATTGGAATGTTTTTCGCTTTACACGAGCTTCCTGGCTCTAGTGGGACTCAAGGTTACTCGCGCGCAAAGTCATTGACCAAGAAACTCCTTTGTTGCGCTGTAATTTCGAGGACAAAACCGAGCGTTTTTATTCAATCTCTCCTTCGCAAAACCTGATGACGTAGCTCGGCGGTAGCAGTACCGCCCAGCGACGATATTTGAATGCGGCTCATAGATTGGACCCGAGCATGGCGTGGACACTCGATTTGGGCTCGTGATAATCTATAGCTCGAGAAGCATTCGGGTAGTGTCCTGTGTCCAATCGCTGCAATGACGACAACAGCCGAACCATAACAATGTCTGGAACGCAGCGCGGGTCCTGTGCCTTGCCAACCCCAGCGCATGACTATGATCAACACTGGCGGCATATAATCGGCTCCAGATCACGTGGTCGTTTGTTCTGGCTGCGAGTTGAGGGGGTGAATTCTGCTCGTTTTTCTTTATTTTTTTCTGCGACTTCGATTCGGTGTGGTGAAAAACGAACGGGTATTTCACAGGTCATTAACGTCAGGGATTCGTTCTAAGCGGTATTTGTGCACAGTAGAAAAAATCGTTGCATCGCCTCTTTAACTTTTGCATGATGGATTTTCTGGGTCACCATTATTTTGTTATATTATAGTTTTTAGCTGAATGCTCGATTTAAAAAAAAAATACACTATAGATGTTTTCATCCCCTTATATCCAGCCGATATTCTGACGGCACAACTTGTTTAACGCACGCGCTTATCCAATGAGAGACGGTTACAACAGCCGCCAATTACAGAAGAGCTTGGAGACAAACACCGTCTCAGCTACTTGGCCGGATGAGGCATTTGTTAGGAAACTTCACCATTGAAGACACTCCTCCGGCAGCTTTTCCTGCAGCGTCTACCCAACGATGTCCCTATAGTTGTCGCGTCAGCAGACAGCGCCACAGTAGAGGACCTAGCGAAAATAGCTAGCAGATCGCATCGTTGACGCTTCAACGACGCGCGGTCCAGGGGTGTATCCAAGCAACCCCAGTTTCTCAACATCACTCTGAGTTTTGAGCCGCCATGCAGCGCCGCACTGATCAGTTGACAGAAATAGTGGTTGCCCTTCGTCCTTCGCGACCACAATCAAGCAGTAGAAACAACTTGCCAGGTTTCAGAAGTAGCAGATTTCACAATCCTCCTAACAAACAGCGTTGGTATCATCGTACATTCGGTTCCCGCGCCAGGAAATGCAGTTTTTCCACGCCAGGTAACACCAACGCCATCAACTAGCAACGACGAGTACGCCTGGCCGGTCGCATCGTCGTCGTTGCCTGTTTTTGCTCCCAGATAAGGACACATAGATGCGTTTCCTCGTTGACAGCGGTGCCGAAATGTCAGTATTGTGAGGAGACCATGCAAAGACCTTCGTGCCAACACGTTCGTGCCCACAACCAGAAGTAACTTTGTTCTCTAGAAAAAGTCGCACTACATTGACATCATGCAAGAGTTTCCGTCTCTAGTACAATCCTGTACATTCACCTTTCAAGTGAGGCATAACGTCAAGCATCGCATCGAGGCGACAGGACATCTCGTTTATGCACGACTTCGTAGGCTTCCACCCTAAAAATACCGGACCGCCAAAGAAACGCTGGATCATATGCTCGAACTAGGAATTATACGTCCCTCTTCCAGTTCATGGGCTTCAACACTAGATATGGTACAAAAATCAACACCTGGCGACTAGCGACCGTGCGGGGACTACCGCGTCCTTAGTCAAGCAACCATCGCTGTCACTCCTGAAGATATACCCAAAACGAAAAGAACCACACCATTCCGATTTGATGAATTCCTTCGAATGCTTTTGGAAATACGGAACTCTGCGCAGTCTTTTCAGCGACTTCTAGTTACGATTGCCTTTCGTGTATGCCTACCTAGTAGTGGTGCAAAACTATCGATAGTACTATCGATAGTATCGATAGTCGCCAGAAATCTGACTATCGATAGTGAAAAAAACTATCGATAGTACTATCGATAGTCGACTATCGAAAAACTATCGATAGTACTATCGATAGTCGACTATCGAAAAACAATCGATAGTACTATCGATAGTCGACTATCGAAAAACAATCGAAAGTCGACTATCGAAAAACAATCGATAGTACTGATAGTCGACTATCGAAAAACTATCGATAGTCGACTATCAGAAAACTATCGTTAATCGACTATCGGAAAACTATCGATAGTCGACTATCGTAAACCTATCAATAGTTACAATAGTAAGGGTGCAGGCGAGCTGGTGGATGTTAACCATGTTGAATATACCTGAGACTGGGGTAGAAAAACATAAAAGTCGAAGAAACAGAACGGGACAGGACGACGTCGTCCTGTCCCGCTCTGTTTCTTCGACTTTTATGTTTTTCTACCCCAGTCTCAGGTATATTCAACATGGCTATCAATAGTACTGTCGACAGTTTACTATGGATAGTTTTGCGACACTAGTAGTTTGCGTCGCTCCCTCTTGTCTATTTATCGCTTTAATTTTTTTTTCAAACGGGGCACCAACTAGCCCAGGCACTTACCATCCCAACTTTGGTTCAGCTTTCAGTGATGACGAAGATGGGGGTTAGGGCGAAAAAAGAAGAAGGGGGAGGCGAACGGTAGGGCGAGGGCAAGACGGGCCGGGGAGGAGGAAGCAGACGAACCGCTGGAGAAGAGAGGGGGAAACCTCCTTCTCTCTTTAGCGTTCCGTCTGCTTCCTCCTCCCCGGCCCATCTTACTCTCGACCTGCCTTCTTGAGTTGTAACGGACTATACTGGTGCAAAACTATCGACAGCACTAGCGATAGTATCGTTAGTCGCCAGTATAGTAAAAAACCATCGATAGTCGACTATCGAAAAACTATCGATAGTACTATCGATAGTCGACTATCGAAAAACTATCGAAAAACTATCGATAGTCGACTATCGAAAAACAATCGATAGTACTATCGATAGTCGACTATCGAAAAACTATCGATAGTCGACTATCGAAAAACTATCGATAGTACTATCGATAGTCGACTATCGATAGTTCTAGGACACTATCGATAGTTTTGGAAAAACTATCGATAGTATCGATAGTCAATTTATCGATAGTTTTGCATCACTACCACCTAGACGGCATTCTTGTAGCGAACTAGTTTAAAGACGAACACAATCATCACCTTTGCCGCCTCTTCCAACGACTCGAGGAAAATGGTCTAATGATTACCATTTCCAAGTCTCATTTCGGAAATACGAGCGTCTCATTTCTGGGTCATCAAATTGACTTCCACGGTCTCAGACCACTGCCTAGCAAAGTCATGGCAATACTAGAGTATCCGGAATCCCAATACGCGCGCGCAAATCGAGCTTTTCCCAAATTTCTTAATTTCTACCGACGTTTTGTACCCCACTACGCTATGTTGCTGCAGCTTCTTTAAGATATTCTACCATCTTCAAAAAAAGGCGTCTCTAAATAGACTGATGCTGCTAAAGAAGCATTCGCCAGAATCAAAACACACATATCACGTGCAACTTC